TTCCGCGTGGACGGCACGTAATACGGCGTTCTAACGCCTACCTTGCAGAGAGTATAGAAGGGTAGAGGCCCGACTCAATGCTAGGTAATTGAAACAGAAGCGCTCGCAGCGCGCTCGCTGGCGACGTACGCAACTACTATTTTCTATTGTTTTCCAGTGACTAGCGGCGGGTATGTTGCTGCCGGACCACCTCCACGTAGGCAATATTTTATACATCGTCCGTCCGCAACTCTCGCTTAGCCAATCAGCGCAGTGGTATGGGATTCCGCTCGCCGCGCACTCTCGCGCCAACGTACGCAACTGCTTGCTCACGGCTCCAACTTCTGTTTCAATTCTTCCCTATCCAGTCGGGCCTCTAACCTTCCATACTCTCTGCTACCTTGCCTCAGAGGGAAGATTGGAAATCCAAGCTTGTCTCAGAGGTTAAATAAATAACCTGCCAATACTATGGCAATATTATAACATCAAGTCTATGGTAACATCATGATCACAAACCGCTGAACAAGCTTGGAGCAATATTATTAACATAACGTTGTCACAATATTGAATATCCAAGTTTGTCTCGGAAGTAAAATAATGTCCCACCAATATTGTGGCAATATCGTCAGGATAGGCTTGGAGCAGTCTTATAAACCTAACCTTGGCACAATCTTTGGGCTCAAGCTTGTCCCAGAGGTAAAATAAATGTCCTGCTAACATTGTGGGAACATTAGCAAGATAAGCTTGGCAACTCTATTCAAATGTGAAAAAATGTCATACTAAGCTTGCACCAAGGTCAAATTTCCGATTGGGTAACGATGGCCGAAGTGCGAAACCACGTATGTCCGTTTGCGACGTTGCAGACTTCCTGTCTCACTTCATTTCTTCTTCGGAAAACTTGTGGACCTAGTTTCTTGAATACTTCCTTGGATTTTCTCCTATGTCAGAAGAATATTCTGTATGGATTTCGACCTGTAATGTTGGGTTCCTTATTCTCATCGAAAAAATAAAATAAGGGCGGAGATTTTGAAACACCGCATAGGAGATACGTGGTTTCACACTTTGGCCACCGGTAAGGTCTTTGACTCCCCAAGCGTCAATTTTTCATCATTGGAAATCTACTGTGCCGAATTTCATAATTTTTAGAGATATGGCACCGAAAAGGAGGCCGCGTGCATTGAGGAAAAAAAACGATTTTTTGTGTTACTCTCGCTTTAAATAAAAAGTGAAAAACGAGCCAACTTAAAGTTTGTATTGATTCCAGTCCAGATTGCGTTAACTTTTACACAGAAAAAATTGATAAACTGGGAAATCCTATAATCAACCGAGGGTTTTGGGGTTTGGGTCAAGGGGTGATTTTGCATTTTCATGGCTAGGTGGTAGTTCTTGCAGTTTGGCAACACATGGTTCCATCCATTTGGATGGTCGTGAAACAATCGATATTTATAGAAAAATGCTTCTTCATCTACGGTAGATTGTCTTCAATAACATTCTGTTGGGGAAAAACATCGTTGCGAAATTGTGATTATTGCCACCGCATTATTATGCTAACAACGCAATGCTGTTTAAAGCTTTCAGTGAACTTGTTTTCCGTATTGAGAGTCAATTTTGACCTACGTATGTCTGAGTAGTGAAAAGGAATCTTTTTATTTAACAAAATTCACCATCCTTGAGAAAAGTTGAAAATTTGAGGAACATTGCAAAGAAAAATCGTTTCGGAGATTGCGTTTGCCAAGATCAATCTCGTTAATCCTAAAACGGAATAGTCTCTCCATGGGATAATCCTTTACGCTTGACTGGCTGGAGTAGCTATTCGATTAAAGCTGAGGAGCTCAATAGGAAGAATATTGCAAGTGGATGCTGAGCAAAAGATGGCGATTTTTTAGGAAAAATAGCTCTCGGTGACTTTATTCAATTTTCACAATACACTCGATGAACTTAAAAAGTCGGCGGTAAGAAACCAGTCTCTTCAAAGTTTTGTATTAAAAAATGTTCATTTTTACGTCATACTCCTTTCCCTAACATGGTGACTTACATGTTCGACTGTTTAATTTAGAGAACTCTTGATAAACGTTTCACACTTTCTGTCAGTTCATATGATCCACGAAAAGCATAAAAATGTATATGTTTTACCTGCTTATCCTTATTATTAAAACAAATATTCTCAAATATGTCATACAAAAAAGTGAGTTACCTCTCATTTGCAGAATAAAGCAAACGTCAAAGTTCTGGTACTTTTGGACGTGTCGCTATTTTCCTAACTAATAAATTACCTAATCGTATATCCTAATAATTTCAAACTTTCATGCCAGTACTAGTTCTCATTTAAAAACAAATACATTTGAAACACACTTAAGTTCGCGTTATTCTGGTTTTATTCAATTTTTCTAATATCATACACCTGAAAATACTCTCTAGAACTAATATGCGGAGATACTCTTTTGCTCTCCTCTAGAAAAAATATAAAAAGGGCGATAACTTTAAAAACACATTAATGCACGCTTATTTTCTTTAGTTTCACTTCCTGTATTTTAAACAGTCAAAAAGAATTCTGCTCAAATCTTACGCGAGAGCACAAGGTATCCTCCTCTTGTAAAAACAGACCAGAAAGCGAAAACCTCGAAACGCGGGACGCGTTTGCGTGTTTCCACTCACGTCCTCACGTCCCCGTGTTTTTCTAGTCTCACAGCCAGCGCACTCTATTTCCTATTTACCCCAGGTAAAGGAGATATGAGCCATAGTTGCCAGTTGGTGCTGAGAAATCCGCACTTTCCCCCATTTGAACCCATGTAAGGTATCCAAATTTCCTCGCGAAATATGGCAATTGTAATACGAGCGCACACATCGTCGCTCTTCTGACGTAAAGGCGTATCTATGTATCTGCATGAGCCCTGAAAAGCATAGAGCTATACGGAGGCCAGGGCTCACGTAAAGATTGAGACACGCCGTAGCAGCAACGACATCTTCCGAGACGACATCTCACTTGTTGAAGGGCTGCGGAACGCGGGTAAACAAGGTTTCGCGGAATCGCTTTTCGGCCACGTCGTACAGAGGAACGAGTCAATCGGAAAAGTCAGACAAAATTTTGAAACTTTAAAAGCTTATAACTTTATTATTACAAAACATAGAATCGTGAATGTCCTCAAAGTGATCCAAATGGCTTTTCCGTGAAATTAACATTAAAAAGCACCCCTTATACTTTAAAGCTTCAAAAAAAATTCTACATATGCAATTTTAGTCCCAAAATTTATGTCCGGCCTCTTTCATTGACTCGGTCCATTATGCGTCGAAGAGAACACCAGTGAGTGCATCTCGGCGCAAACCGCGGTTAGCACGAAGGTTGGCGGTTTCATGGCTCCCATCGAAATTGACTCACTATTTTCTTGCATTGGAGAGTAGATGGGTGCACTGTTGTTACATTTCATGAAGAGGATAAAGTACAAAAACATAGCCCAAATATACGAATAAAGAAGGAGAGAATTAAAACATGGGTAAACAAGGCTAAAACATTAAAAACACTAAAGGGCAAGGCGTTTTGAGCTGTTACCAGCTCATTTCCAGCTGCAAAAAAACACAAAAAAATAATAAAAAATTGAGTGCCGACCTTAGTGTTTCTGATGTTTTAGCCTCGTTTACCCATGCATGTTTTACTTCTCTCCTTCTTTTTTCAGGAGGAGTAGAGTAGTGAAAGTTAACCCGAAATATTTGATGAAATTTCATGAGGAATATAGAAGTGAAAGCTCACCTGAAATATTTGATGAAACTTCACGGTGGACACGAAATTGATTTTTCATTGAGTGCATGAAAATTTACTTACTATTAAATTCCGTAAGAAAGTAAATCGGTGACAATTTTGGAGTGAAATTCCGTGCCGATCTATCTGGCGCCAAAAAATCCCGAAAGATATGAGTATGGAGCGGAATTCATTCTTCTTAAGGAGTGACTTGCATTATTACGGAGCGGAATCTAATCTTTTTATGGAGTGTCGTACGCTTATAATGGTGCTAATCTCACTTCGCATTAATATTACTCTGAGTTTTTGGGTGCTAAACAGATTTCGGCACCGAATTTTACTCCTCGACGGTGAAATTAGAGATAATTTTTCTAAGTTTTATAGAGATTAAAACTTTGTTGAATTTCAAGTGGATTATTTGATGAAATGTTAATGAAAGAATTGGAAATAGATTATTGATTGCAATGAACCAATCGAAATGGGTTTGATGCACGTGAGAGATACAATCGAATGAGAATTTTTTCTTCCAAATCGCACGAAATTCACGCTGAGCACATCATGAAAAAAGTCTGTAACGTCTGTAAAGTTTGTAAAGTCTTTAAGTCTGTAAACGTGTGTGTGTGTCTTCGGTAACCCACTCTTTTGCGCGCAATGTGTATAGTTTTTGACACGCTTTTTCAAATTTCCCGCATGTACACCCTGCTAAAAATGGTGAGTACAAATGAGTTGAAAATCAAAGTCATATGAATAGAATTTCAATTCATACGGATAAAATTTCAACTTATATGAATAGAATTTAACTCACTTGAGCAGAATTTCTCTATTCACTTTTCGCCGACTCATATGACTAGAGATTCCAACACATCTCATAAGACTAGAGATTTCAACTCACATAAGTTCAGCGTTGAATCTACCGTGTCTGATATCTCAAAAACTAGTCACCGCATCAAAAAAATTACAAGAACAAAATGTTCTTAAATTTCAATTTTACATGCTATGTCTGTGTCTCTTGGTCAAAAACACCACTTCTGAAAAATGAAAAAAATTGAATTCATATGAGTTGAACTTTTCTACTCTTATGAGTTGAATATTCTAGTGATAAGAGTAGGATTTCTACTCATATAAGTAGGAAATTCTACTCATATAAGTAGGAAATTCTACTCATGTGAGTCTGCGAATTCTGAATAGCCTACTCATCATTTTAGCAGGCAGTTTTGATAAAATACCTGATTTTACTATTTGCATGCGACATAAATATTGGAGTGACAATACTGGAGAGAGCGCTCACCTGTAGAAGGAGGTGAGCTGGATGGTGAGGTTAGCGGTGGTCTCGAGGGCGTAGGGCTGGTAGCCGGGAACGCACTCGCATCGGTAGTTCTCCTGGTTCAATCCCACGCCGGGGAGACTGATACACTGCAACAACCAAGAGAATTTCCAATCACCCACCGCGAGAAGAGTAAACACCCAAAGTTAATTGAAGCTCTGCTTACTTTCAATCAATTACTCAAACAGCAACAAGCGGGGTCCCGCGCCGCCACCTTCCCCCCCCCCCCCCCCCCCCCNCGCCACCGGATCAAAATAAGCATCCGCGGTGTGAGCTCCACGGACGGGAATAAATGAATAAGTGAAATTGAAACTATGAAAAAACTCACTCGTTGTCTCCCGTACTGCCTTACTAAGGAAAAAACGCCAAACGAGCATTCAAATGGTGCCAAATTTCTTGGAGTGTACAAATGAAAAAGTTCAAGAAATTTAATTTTGACCCTATATTAATTTTTGGAACTTCTTGGCTTTGTTTTCCCCGCGAAATGGTGTGGGCCCAGCACCATTTCTCTACCTTGTTTCTTGGAGCTTAATATTAATTTTTGAGAAAAAGTATGCATCTTTTCCCTTGAAATTTTCACATATTTTGGATTTAATGGGCCTCTTGCAAACTTTTGCTAGAGCAAAAATAAGAGTTGTTACTCATAGAAATTTCTAAAAAATCACGATGAGTACATCGGCAAAGTCTGAAATGCATTCCTTACTTCAGAATTTGCGTAAGAAAGCGTTTTCGAGCTTCCCGCTTCAAAAACTATACAACGGCACAGATGAACAGTTCTTTAGAGGAGTCATTCCATCCAACCCCTGCTCATGCACAAGTTTGAACTACACAAAAAAAACCAAAAAACTTAGCGCTGAGCTCTAAGTTTTTAGGTAAAATAGCGCCAACTAAAGGCAGTATTCTGAGCCCTACACTCAGCGCTAAATTGTTGTTTTTCGTGCATTCTACGAAGCCACTTCAAGAAGTGTGTGATACGCATGATAACGATCTGTATTTTATAGAAAATCACCCTGCAACTCAAAATATCTCTTACCCATGCTCATGCAAGAAGTGAAATCGAGGATTTCAGAGAATTCGTGTAGTTAAATTTCTGAATTGCCACACATTCATGTGAACAGATCTTTTTCAGTGTGGATGAAAAGGAAATCATGAAACACCCCCGAGGTTGCACAGTGAACTTGAATATACCTTTATGTTTTATGCATACTGTAAAAACATTATCATAATTCATCACGTTGCTTGCCCTCATCAAAAGCAAACAGCTGGTGCCGTCCACCTGAGCTGAAATGGATCAAGCGCTGATGCCGCACTGAAAAAAATGGTTGTGTCGTGAGAGTCCATAGTGCTTGAAAAATCTATGGTATGAACTGCTCGCACATAGGGTCTGGCTTTCACGACTAGAGCAGAGATGTGCCGTAAATGTGTATGGAAAAACAGGTGTATGAACTTACCGTTCATACGGTATGGACGCTCCGTCCATAAGGTTCAGTTACACGATCAAATTGAGCCATCAAATTGGGCCTCTCATGGGTGGCATCCTCACCTCAGGTCTTTTCCCACCAATCAGAGCTTCAGTTTTATGGCTCAATTTGATCGTGTAACTGAATCTATACAGCGTAGACGCTGGGTCCATATAGTAAAGACGCTGGGACGCTGCGCTGGGTCCATAGATATAGTATGGACTTAGAGTACATACTCTTAGTATGTAATATTTGTTCGCACTAAAATAGACTCTATCTCTATTCATACGTCGGCATCAAATTTTTCACAGTCCGTATGTGGACCCGACCCATAATTTATGAGGCGTGAGTGCATACATGTTTTTCAGTGCAGTGGTATTCTCTATAATGCAATGTTGACAGAGTTTATCAGAAAGGAAACAACCCACATTTCCGAAAAAAATTGAGTCAAGAATGTTTTTTAGTTTCACTAACCGTCTATTTTCTCCTGCCAAAAACTGGCAGTCTAAAAGCTTTTTCCTGGTTTCAACTAAATGTGGGTTGGTTCTTTTCAGATGAAGTACAATTTTTATTCGTATCGTATTTTTTTAGTATGTTGGTTTTTCAGCCAACGTGCGTTGAAAAGCGTAAAGCTGGGTATCTCAATACAGAGGGAAAAAGCTCATTGAGATATTCAGCTTTATGCTGACTTCTTAACTCACGTTGGCTAAAAAGCCAACATACTGTCTTACGACCCGTGCGTCCACCGCAATGCGTGAAGTATTCCTAAGGTCTTGCAGGCACTAATATACGTTAAACGCCGGCCGCGCGATGATTCGAACTCGCGTTAGAATATCGCGGGTCGAATAATAGAGCTTAAAAGGCCCATGTTGTGTTTAGACGCCGTATGAGTATTCTAATGTTGCCTCGTTTCACCCGATTAAATATTTTTTCGGAGAAAAGTTAGGCAAGTTGTTTATACCCACGGTCATTTTTCAATTTTTTTTACTTCATTTATCATCAGAAGGTAAGACATTGATGATTCGTCAACAAAGCAACCTAAACTAGCGTTAAAATAAAAATGCGATAATTTTCCAACTGTTTTCTGTTTGCCAAACTTCTACCCTACGTTAACTTTATTTTAAATTTGCGCATTCCTGTATCAGATGTTAAAGTTTCTATTTGTGCAATCTTTGCGCCTTTTTCGCGCAATCCTCATTTATTTTCTTAGACCTTTCGTGCAATCATGCATTGCCGGTATTTTTGTAGTTCCATTGTCGATAATTATGCAGGTGTGATTATTGAAACGATGAAAAAATTCGAATCTCGGTTGTCTGCGCCATTACATATTTGAAATTCATAGAGTGAAAGTTCCAATAAAATGCGGAATTCTCTTAGAAAGTTTATGCTTTAAGGCAAATAGCATTGCCGCGAGAGAGTAATTAAAATGCAAATTTTCAGCACCAAATGTTCACAATGAAGAGTATAGCACAGTAGAACGGCATGCGCTTCGAGGCACGTGAATTATTAATTTTTTTTTTTTTTTTTTTTTTTTACAACACTTGCTCAACTTAAATTTCGATTCAAAGGCTTATGCTTTACCGACAAACAGATAGTTGCGTCATTGCGCGAAAAGGGCGAAAATAGACTGCAAATTATTCCAAAATTTTCATTTTTTTTCCCGTTCAATTTCAGTTAATGAACATTTTTGCGTTTTGGAGGGAAAACATTTTCGAAGATGGAAAATTACGAGGACCTCGTGACATGAAAAAATTTCAAACTGATGTTGTGAGACCAAGAAGTTTCAAATTTCAATTTTTAACACGTGTTAATTAATTATATTAAATATTAATTATATTATTAAATGTTGTGGTGACTCATTATTTTAAATGAAATGTTATTTCCTTCTTTTGATCAATCTTTTTAAATTGTCATGGGTGAATATTTGGTTTTATTTCCATCCTTGACATTTTTGATGAAAAATGAACCTTATAAATACTTTTTATTAATGAAAATCTTACTTTATTTTAAAAACATTTACATTTTTAAAACGTGGCAAATATTTGTAAAACCTTTTCCGTGCGACAGCATCGATATTAAAGTCAATGAGCAGTAGTTGTATTGAAAGAAACTATGCACAAATGAATAAAAGAGGGAAAAAACCGAGAAGCACGCAATCTTCGGTTGTAGCCCATTTGTACATCGATCTTTCGGAGTCAAATATGACCAATTTTGAGCGTTTGGTTGCGCTAACACCACGCTGCAGCACAGTAAAACCACAAAATATAAAAGAAAATATTAATGTGCTTTGAAAATCATTAAATACGACAAGGAAACACCTTAATATTTACAAAACACACATTAAATTTTCCTTCCATAAAGATATTTTTTTTTACCAATTTAAATTAAAGTAATCCACGCAGAGTGTGCAAACATATAAAAATCATGAGTTGAAAAACGCTGACTCCGCGAGTTTAAATATTAGGCAGAAGCATAAAGCGGAGTGATGCGACGTGCTGCCGGCGCACTGGCGCCTACAAACCTAAGCAGATACTTCACGCATTGCGCGATGCTTGAGATATCCCTTAGGTTTGTAGGCGCCAATGCGCGTTCCGTGCTGGCTGGCTGGCCGCGCCGCAGCGTGCCACGTGCCGCGGCGCGTCACTATTTCACAACAGAGGTGTTGTACCGTATTATACGAAATTGAAGGCACTCTAACATACCAACAATAAGAATGACAGGCATCCCCTAAGAGTACGGAACTTTCCTTGCAAAATAAGTGGAGATAAGAGAGATAAAAGAACATTCTTGGGTATGCCGTCAAGAATATTTTATTTTGAATCAAGAATAAAATAGGTGAACAAAATCGGGTTTCTGCTTGATGTAAGTGACTTTCTTTTTTACAAAAGCATCTTGTTTTCTTTAAGAAAACATTATTTTCCTTATTAACTCATAATGAAATCTTCTCGGCGGTAAATTTGAGGATATTTCTCCTTAAATCAGGTCACTTGTTCCTCTAATGACGTTGAAAATCATACTAAACGTTATTAAATACAGATACTAGGCCAGTAAGTTTTTCGACTACCACTCTCTTTTTGTTGTTGTCACTCGATTTAATTTGCGAGGGAACTTTGTGCTTTTGAGAGATGCCATCAATCATGATACGTTGGGGTGCCTTTGATCTCATATAATACTGTGAAACACCTCCGTGGCGAAATAGTAGCTCGAAGCGCTGCGGCAAACCAGTGCCAAAGCGAAGTTATCATGCATAGGAAAAATATGAAATCCTTTAGCTGAGGCAAATCAAAAGGTGTTCCAGTTCAGGTATGAATTTATGGGATTTTCTTGAAAGATAATTAAGTCCTGTTGCACCAAAGAGGTGTAGAGAGTTTTAGTGAATTTTCTCTCATGGAAATGACGCTCCCTCATTTTTACCAAAAATCTCAATTATATATTTTTCTGAGCAAACAAACAAAAAAACAAGCAAAGCCTCATTCTTCCAAGACATTAAAAATTTTCATCCAAAAACGTCGTAAGCAGTTGTCGTTTGTATTTACATGTGGACTAATTAACTTTGGGTCTCAAGTGGTAAGTGGAGCAAAACTCCCCTTCCGAAAAAACGCGTGGACGTTAAACTACTGGAAAAAACA